TCACATATTTGAGTATATATTGTCTAGTGAAACTGTAGTTATATAAAAATGACACTATAGTTGTGTTGAAATGAAATTGCAGTGCATATTTGATGCCTGGATCACAATGCATTTTGAACCGCGGTCCACGGTATAATTTGTCGTTATCTTTCCTTCTTTTTTTTTTCTTTTTTTTTTTTTACAGTATCTAATATTTATACCATTATGAGACTAATATGGAATCAAACTTTTAATTTTGTAGTTACATTAACAATCCACTTACAGCCAAAGGCCTTGTGGTCGAACAACATAGTTGTGGCCCTTGACTCTTTGTGCTTCAGTAAGTTGAGAAAGTATATATGACAAAATACAACATTGTAATAGAGTCAATAATATTTTTTTTTTAAAAAAAATCCACTTACAAATTATTCTAAACTACTAGGTTATTGATAAAGCAATGGGGCTTGAGCCCAAAATCAATTGGGTCATAAATTAGAGATCCATGAGTTTATTGGATATAGCGAACAATCAAAACTTATGGACAAGCTTTTATTCGCAAATTATATCGTGCACCGCAGTGCATGATCGATCATGCATCGCACATCAAAACGATGTCGTTTTGTTTATTAATGAAAAGAAACGGCATCCGTTTCCCGCCGTTCCGCACCCTTCCGCAAAAAGTAAATCTGTTATTCAATTTCATTTTGTATACACTGCAGTGTCAGTTCAACACAACTACAGTTTCACTTCGATATAACTACAGTTTCATTCGATATTTATAGACTCAAATATGTGAAAATGTTATTTAACTTTATTTTATATACACTATAGTTTTATTAAAACATAACTACATGATCATTTTGATATAATTACAGCTTCATTGTACAATATACACTCAAATATGTGAAATGTTATTCAGTTTCATTTTATATACTGCAGTTTCACTTTATCACAACTACAGTATCATTTTGATATAACTGTAGTTTCATTTGTCGTGAGACAGTATTGGTTTAGATATACTGTAGGTCTGTAGTGTCAGTTGGTGTTTAATACACCAAATATGCGGACTCTGTTAACAATAACAGCGGGCTGTTTCTTTACTTAAAGAAACTGCCCCGTTTCACCGCGGTCTACAATATAACGATTGGCTTTTATTCACTAAAACAGGAGAATTGATGAAGTGATGTTTCGACAAAACAACAAAATAATAAGATCTTTGATAACCTTTCAAAAAAAAAAAAAAATCTTTGATAATATATGGAAGAAGATGGATTTGAATATCGCGATTATTAACCTTTGATTTTCATAGCATTTATACCTAGATTTTCAAGAGATAAACTTGAAGCTTTCAAATCACAATTCAATGTTCTAACTCCAACATGAATTTATTTTCTTGATTCACAGTGTTTAGCACCAAACATCTACAACTCTCACTCGAGAAGTGCTGGCGATATTGAGTTCAAGGAGACTTGGTGGAAGATCCTTGCACTATAGTGATAGATAGTGAAGCCAATTGCTTGGTGATATAGCTATTGAAGGACCATTAATGGAGTTGAGCAAGTAACAAGAGGACTTGGTATTTGATCCTGGTGAAAGGTAGACTCTCACTTGTATTTTTACCAAATAGATAGCGAATTTTATCATCGACAATAAGAGAAAAGTGGAGTGAGGATTTCTTGAACCACTATAATCTCTCTCCTTGTTTTACCATACCAATATGCTAATCATCCATAATCACATACTTGTTTGAATAAAATACTAAAATCCTTGGCAAGCTAAAGAATTTTGTTGTGTATAGTACGTAGTGTAGTTTTTGCTAAAATTTAAAATTGTTTAAAAGCCTATTCAACCCTTCCCCCAAATCTCCAATCTCTAAAATTTTACTTGTCACAGGGACCAATATATAATTATAATTATTGTTTAGTATAAATTATATATTTTTTATCATTTGAATGTTTATTCTATTCTTAAATCAATCAAATATCGGAATACAATTTCGAACATCTAATCTATTTCTTAAGTGAGCCAAATAATAGTAAAAGAATTCATATTTAATTCCTTTTTTTTTTAATTTTAATTGAGAAAATTTCATTTTTAATTATTGACTATTGTGACATTGTCGTACTTAATCATACTCTTTTAATTTTGTTTCATTAATTACATCATTGACTTTTATTTGTATGTCACAATTAACCCTTTATTTAAATTTTTGTCATTTCATCATTTAAAAAAAAAAAAAGAAGAAGATGATTATATATAATTTTATCATGTCTCTTGCCTCAACATGTAATTTCTCTCAATCTCTTATAAACTCTTTTTAATTGAATGATGAAATTATATATTCACCATCCTGATTAAATGATTGGATGAAAGAAATTTAAATGGAGTACTAATTGTGACAAAACAAATGAAAGTCAAAGATGTAACAATGCAGAATTAAAAGAGAAATATAATGTGACAATGCGATAATTATTTATGACTAAAAGTATAATTTTCTCTTTCATTCTCTATGAATAACATTCCTATTTTCCTCAAGATTATTTTTTAAACCAAATATGCTTATAATGTTTGAAAAATAAACTCTCAACTTTTTTTTCCATTAATAATCATACTATTTTACAAAAATAGAAACCCTTATTCTCCCTTCATCATTAAAAATGCATAACCTTCATACATTTATCACATAAACAATTATTTCACTTTTTAAATTAGTTTTTTTTTTTATTACTATTAAATGTTACGTTTTCTCCCATTTGAATGACTGTTTAGAGCAATGAAGTCTATTGAAAATTTGGCAAATTAAAGTCTCTTTTGAAAATAGTATTTTGGAAGTTTAATGCAAGCTATTCCATTACTATACTTAACACATTTTGCTTTCTTTTCTTTTCTTTTTTAAATAGATTTTTAGCTTTTTATAAAGAGTTAATTCCATTTATAATCCTAAATTTATATGTGACAGTCCACTTTTACTCATTTTGTTTCAAAACATCTACTTTTCATCCTAGTATTATTGTGACATGATAATTTTTGGTCCTCTATCAACAAAACAGTTTAAATGTTATTAAATACAATGGCATTTCGATTTTCAACTATGATTTTTTTTTAAAAAAAAATAAACATAAAAAATATAACTAGTCAACCTACTTTGTATAAAAAAAAAAAAAAAGATCAAAATATTATTGTATTTTACGGCATTTTAATGATCTATTTTGTTGACAGATGACCAAAAATGGTCATGCTACAATAATACTATGACCAAATTAAGATGTTCTGATAAAAAAGACTAAAAGTGAACTGTCACCTATAAATCAAGGATTAAAAATAAAATTAATTCTTTTATAAATTTTCTAAAAAGAGAAAATTACACCTTTATTTGAAGAATCTAATTTCCTAATACATTAACTTTAACCTTATCAAAATCTATTAATTCCAATTATTCCTAACACAAATTCCTTCTAAGAAATTATTTAAAAAAAAAAAAAAAAACTTGCAAATCAAGAAGGAAGTGGATAGTATATGAACATATACTACATTGTAATAGAGCCAGTATCATTCAAAAAAGAAAGAAGTGGATATGCATCGTACGAGGCCATGCAAAACATAAAAATATAAAACAATTTTGCATACACTATGCAGACAAACTATTCAAAGTTCTTACAACCATATACTAAGTCTTGTTCTCATTTTATTAGTTATACTTTCTATAATAAGTTACGTTTCAATAATTTTGTCATTAAAACAGTCTGTGTATTACTTTTACTAATATGTCATTTGAACACAAGTGCTTGACATACCTCAATATCTATATGTATTCAAACCTTTAATTTTCTCTACAATTCCTACAAACTAGCTATAGACCAAAGCCTAGCAAAGATTTTCTTTAAAAAAAATTAATTTAAACAACTATACATAGTCACAATAATAACTCCTTATTATAAAGTTAATTTGTTTATTATTGTAATTAAATCTCAATCACATAGTGCACAAAGGATCACGAGTTGAGTCAACATAACCAATATGCATGACTAAAAGCTAGCTCGTACGGAATTGTAGAAAAAATAAATCAGTTAATTTAATCATGTATTCTTCATAAATTACCACTAACATGAGAATACATAAGTCAAGAATATAATCTTGATCTAAACAAACAACTAAATAGATGCTTAACTGTGTTACAAGATACACTTACCACTAAACATTTAAACTTATATAATAAGTCACGACAATTTAACAATAATTACTAGTTAAGTTTAAAGACTGAATTGTTGAACCCTTACCGACGTTTAATTACTTTTAACGTAACAATTAATAATATCAAATGCATGCAACAACAATCTACCGATCAAAGATTAAATATAACTCTTAATAAATGATAAATAAACACTACTTCAAGTGATAAGTTTATATGTACTCTATGATCAAATGCATGTTTATATTCCTTAGACTACAAAATCTTTTGCAAACATCATTTCATAAAATTAAAAATGCTTGATGCTACCAAAGTAGTAGAACTCAGAAAGCAAAGATTATAAGTTTTGGGGATTTAATTTTATAGTAATCCTAGCAGGATAGTCTGAATTTGGAGTTGGAATGCTTCAAAGTCTGCAGGCTTTATTTGCAAACTAACAATGATATAGGACAAGACAGTATGTACCTCGGACCTTCATGAGTCGTCCCATGTTTTAATTTGTATGTAGCTCTTAATCTAATCATTCAAATAATTACATTAAACACTAAGAATCTCATCATGTTTTGTCTCCCAGTTAATTAAAGAGCTCAAGGTTCAGGCAGGTTCAATAAAACCCATAGTATATAAAGCTTAGTTTCATTGATATATTGAAATTAAATCAACTATAATACCCACAAATATGTATGTATACACACAAACAAAACTAGTGTGTATGTATATACATACAATTTTTCGAGAAAGTTGGTGTTTATAAAACATAGAGTAAATAAGAAAACAAGTAATATCATATCGTAGTATATATAGCCGTCATTCAAAACAGATCAAGAAACTGTCACATAAACGCTGAATTAGGGCCAAGACGGAGTTCCAAATCCACTTCACTTACCTCCATACCTTCCTTTCTTTCTTCCTCATCATCATCTGGGCTGCCAACTCTCAGGCTAAGATCTGCATCTCCATGCTGCAGGGCGAAATTCCGATAATGCCCACGATGATCCAACACTTGGAATTGGTAGCTAGGGTTTGACGACGATGATGGGAAGAAGAATTGGTGATACTTAACATATGCCCTTGAAGATGAATAGCAGAAAGTTTGCTCTTGTTGCTGTTGACTAGAGATCTGTGCAGCATATACTTGATGATTGGATTTGGGTTTTCTGGAAATTTCTTCTGCAGATTTTTGTTGATTATTATTGCAGGCCTGTTTGGCCTTCAACTTATCCTTCCTGTGAATGTTCATGTGGCCTCCCAGTGCCTGAGCGTTAGTAAACCCTCTCTTGCAGAAAGTGCACTCGTACGACCGCCCCACGCCGGCGTTTTCGTCGGAAAATTTTTCCGGCACGTGCTCCGATTCCTCGCCGCAACTGTCAGAACTGCTGCTCATCATGTTCAGATCAGCTTCAATAATTCTCCAAGAGAAACAAGCTAAGAAGGAAGAAAAATTTTCTTGTTTTGTTAGAGGGATATGATTTTAGGGCTGAGTATGAAAGAAAATGACAATATAATGGGGAATTTTGGGCTTGTTTTTAGCAGTGATGGTTTCACACAGTTTGGTGAATATCTGGGGTTTAATATGGAGATATATATTTCAACTTGGCGAGAGGTTTACGTTTGAATATATAGACAACATTATTAAAATTGGATCTTTTGTTTTATGTATTTATAGTTTACTAGTCTTTGGCCGGCATGTTGACGTCCACCGTTAAAATACGATTATATAATTACACTGATGTTTCAGGCCAGGGCAGCATTTCTACTGGGAAGTCATACATATTTTTCTAAAGAACTTTCCAGTGTAATTAATGTAGGTAAGTGCGCAACAAATTTAGCAACAATTATGCATGCCTAAAATGGACAGATTCCTTATGTCCACCGGTATTGATATTTGGCCATGTTACTGATTCATTGAGTCACTGTGATTGTCAAGGTTTGAACATTGATCTCTTTTCTCAAATACTGCATATTGAATCAGTGAGTTAAGTCTGTGCAAGCATACAAAGTATTTCTTCTGATCTTTAATTTGTAGTACTTGCATGTATGGACGCACACAAATCAATTTTTATATATATCATAGACCAAGGTCAATCTTGCATTGTGAATCCTAGTCTCAGAATTATGTGTTTGCGTAGTTGATATATTGTGTACATACAATTAACCGTTTATGTGTTTGTAAATAAATTAAAGATATATAACATTATATTTAACTACATACGCATAAATTGTTAATGAAAGTACAAAATATGTTAACAACAGATAGATGCACAATATACATTTAACATATTAATAATATTATATGTTTACGATTAACATATTCTCTGCCTACAACTAACAGTTTATGTGTTTGTATGTAGTTGTCATTTTATGTGTATCTAATTGACATGTTATGTGTTTTTAATTTATATATATAGATATAAACTGTTAACGGTAAATACATAATTTGAATGTTATTTTGAAATAAGATTCATAATGCAACCATGATATAATTTGCCCATACAAATAAGATGTTGATACCATAGGGAATATGTCCCTAATTTTGATCCCTACCCTTTAGAGGATTATTCAGGGACAAGGATTTCCTATACCCACGAAAATTAGCACTTATATGCCCATGCCAAATAACCTATGTACATGTGCTCTTTCGATATCATATGTGGCTTAATGGCTTATAATATAATATAATATTTATATAGTAATATATTAATATTTTGATAGTTTATTAGGATCAAATGATTATCATTAATTACATAATAAATTATAACTAGCTAGTTACTCAGACATGTTTCAATAACATAATACTGGACTTGGTCATTTACATTTCCACCCAACTATATTCATAGCTCCCTATTTGAACCTGATCATGTGACTTGCTAAACTAATTGCCAGAATCAATCGCTTACCGCCTTGCATAGTAGTTATCACCATGTTTTGATTGCAGGATCTATCACTTGAATTTTAGAACATCACCCATTGAAATCTTTTGAGTTCTAGTTCTGAATCGTAATCAGAATCGTCCTGTAATTATCCATATACCAGCTTCCATGAAATGTGTTCCAACATTTTTCATGTACGTTTGACATTCGACTAACTAGTTACATTATATTCCAAATTTCCAATGCACCCTTAATCTTAAGAGCAACATTGTATGGCTCTCTTAGGTCTTAAGTTCTTAATTAACGTATGCAAAACGCTGCATTAATTTCAGAAAGAAGGGTTAGATAGATGCACGTACAACTAACATTGTTTACGTACTAAACAAGAATTGTTGAACTCATCAACGTAACTGGCTGTACGTACGTTGGTATAAACACATGTCTTGTTTCCTTAATCCATATATGTTGTTAGCTGAGCTGGTTCCAGGTGACGGCCATAATTACGCGTTAATGACCATGTCTATATATCTAGCTAATTACAATGAATTGAAGTTCGTTAGTGCAACAGGACGGCAAGGCTAGCTGCAACTGTGTTTAGATCTTTATTATGATTGGGCACACCTTTATAAAATAATAATTAAGATGGAGAAGTTGAGGTTACTCCATTGGGTCAACAAGTTTGAAACTTTTTAGAAAGGTACGTGGTGATTTTGATCTTTTAATTATGATATAATATAATATATATACTTGATTCCCTTCTTAAATTATATATAGGGAGTATTATTTGTTGAAAAAAATAACATAAAATAGCAAGAAATGACATTTTAAGTGGCTATTTTGTGGTACAATTATTAGTGGGGTCCACTGTGTTATGCACGGGAAGGCAATAGTTAGTGTATGTTATGAGATACTTAAGGTATACGTGACGTTGGTTTGCACTATGGGAGATATCCTGCTGTACTTGAAGGGTATAACGACGCTAACTGGATATTGGATATTAAGGACTCCAAGTTCACGAGTGGCTACGTGCCTACGTATTTACACTAGCCGATGCCGCCGTTACATGGAACTCCTCAAAGCAAAGGTGATATCCAGATCCACGATGCATGGAATCTGAGATGATAGCCTTAAATAAATGTTGCGAAGAAGCTGAATGGCTATGCCATTTTCTCAAGGATATTCCTAGTTGGGAAAGACCCGTACCTCCAATATGTGTGCATTGCGATAGTCAAGTCACAATTGGGAGAGTATAGAGTCATATGTATAATGGTAAGTCTAGATATATACGTCGTAGACATAATACCATTAGACAACTTGTCTCAACTGGTGTTGTCTCGATTGACTACGTTAAGTCAAAAGACAATATAGCGGATCCGCTAACCAAAGGGTTAGGTAAAGAAGTTGTGGGGATGCTGACACGAAGAATGAGTCTAAAGCCTTTGGAATAAAAGTTTTATAGTGGATACCCAACCTAGTTGGCACCTAGCTAGGTTCAATGGGGCAACTAAATTATGGAACAAAACGTGTCACTATGGGGGTCTCGGACTCCCTACCACTCCTCGTTAGAAACGTGTCTCCCGTACGAGGTTAGCACGTTGATGCTTTAATGATTCGAAATGTCATGTGTGAGGTTCAAATGAGAATTGAATAAGACTCAATTCTTTAGAAACTCTTACAGAACCAGGAACGATGACCCACAACCAAAACGGACACAATCATGAGAACATATCGTGGTTGGGAGGTTCCTGTGTGAGATATGTCACATATCTCACCGTTTCTAGTATTCCTTAGTACTTCTTTGGTAAAATGTCATCTAGTTTCTTCTAAAGTGATAAATTGTAGTGATACCAGATTAAAAAATGAATGCACTTTAAAATTATTGTGCATCATCTCATCATCACTTCACAACTCATTTTATTTTGCGATATGATATATTCCACCTTTGGTTATTAACAAAATAATGATCGATGAATACCATTATTGGTATATAAATACATACACTATGTAAGTTAAATAAAAAGTGAAGTGTACGTGTAGGTATATATATGCAAGTGTATATGTTGTAGAATGATCATTAAGTTCAAGTACAAGTTTTTAGGATTACAACACTTATAAACAGGAGCTAGTGAGATAATACAACATATACACTTGCATATATATACCTACACTTAGTCCAAATTAGTAAAATAAGAATAAAAAGTAAAAATTTAATTTAACAAGCTAGTAAAACCTTCCGAGTTGAGAATGTTACATTTTCAATAGGCATAGATTTTGAGGAATTTTTACATGTTTAGAAAAGAGAAGATAAGATTTTCAAAAAAAAAAAAAAAAAAGAAAAGAGAAGATAAGAGGATGAAAAAAGAAAAAGTAAAACAAAATCTGAAAAAAGAAGTAGTTGTAGATTAACGATCTGGCTAGACGGATTCTGGTGTTTTTCACGTGGCAAGGGACATTCTTTTTGCGCGAGTTCACTTTAGAGACAAAAAATTAGGTTTTTGTACAATGGTCCTGTTTGGTAAAATGGCTGTTAGCTGATAGTTGTTTGTTGTTAGCTGATTGTGTTAATTTGAGGGTATAAATAAATGATAACATTAGCTGATTATAAAAAAGTGTTTGGTAAATTAGTTGTTAGCTGATAGCTGTTTGGTATAATTTCTTTTCTCAAAAAGCTAATTGAAAAAATTGCTTGGAGTAGCTTTTTGTATTTTAGCCTTTTGGAGTTGCAAAAAGCTAATTAACCAAACATTTATATTGATATTTTAACTAAATCAAACAATTAATAGTGGTCAAATAAGCCAAAATTGGGGCAAATTATGCTCTGGACCTGTGTCCACATTGAATTGTGGACACGGGCCCAAAACGACGTCGTTTTTAAAAAAAAAACGCGTCATTTAGTTATTAAAAAAAAAAATTCGCGCGTGTTTTGCCGTTAACGGCGTTAACGGCGTTATTTTTTTTTTTGATTATGAATGTACAGTTATGCCGTTATGAATGTACAGTTATGCCGTTATGAATGTACAGTTATGCAATTATGAAATTATGAACACAGAGCTCTAACATTATGAACTTACAATTATGAACATATATAGTGATAAAATTATGACCATGGGGCTTTAAAATTGTGAATATAGAGCTTCGAAGATTATGAATGTACAGTTATAGAGTTATGAATCTACAGTTATGGAGTTATGAATCTACAGTTATGAGATTATGAATCTACAGTTATGGAATTATGAATGTACAGTTATTGATCGAATTATGAACAAAGAGCTCTAACATTATGAACTTACAATTATGAACATATAGTGATAAAATTATGAACATAGAGCTCTAAAATTGTGAACATAGAGCTTCGAAAATTATGAATGTACAATTATGGAGTTATGAATGTACAGTTATGACGTTATGAATGTACAGTTATAGAGTTATGAATGTACAGTTATAGAGTTATGAACGTACAGTTATGGAGTTATGAATGTATAGTTATTAACATATAGTAATAAAATTATGAACATAT